AGCATATCAGTAATGCTTTATAATCTTGTAAGCATCAAACATTCTTTTACAGAAAAATTCTTATTATACTTATTCAATAATGAATAGCCATTAAGCTCTATTTCTTTTTGATCCTTGACATGTTACATTATAATTGCAGATAAGGTTAGTTCCCAGTTTTAAGGAAAATCTCTTTTCCCTAGGGACATTCAACAATTAATCTGATCAAGCCCAGAACGGAAACGACTGCATTTGCATTAGGTGAATAATATATTTTAGTGTTTTTAAGATTAAAGCAATGTATATTTATTGAAGGGTATTTATAACAGAAAAATTTAAAAAAATGATTTGTAACCTACCGCTAAAACTACCTATACATATATATGCCCTTATAGTTTTTTCTGACTCATTATAGTTTTAGAGCAGGGTTTCTCAACCTTGACACTATTGCTATTTTGGGCTGGATAATTTTTTTGTTGTGGGAATCTGTCCTGTGCTTTGTAGGATATTAAACAGTATCTCCAGCCTCTACCCACTAGGTATCAGTAGCAGCCCACTCTCATTTGTGACAACCTAAAATGTCCCTTGGTGGGGGTGGAGACACAAAACTGCCTCGAGTTGAGAATCACTGTTTTAGAGTTATAAGAGGTTTTAGAATTCAGGTTTCATCTCTTTGACAGGCGAGAAAATTAATACTTAGATCAATGCAGATGTTCTGCCCAAAACCTCATGGCTAATTAGTGGCAGAATCAGTACTAAAAAAAAAAAAAAAAAAATCCAGATTAATTCAACTACTTTTTAATAAAAGGATTTATTTTGTAAAATTTGGATTCAGTCAAAAGGCTGCACTAGACAATCCAGAAGGCCACATGCGGCCCCAAGGCCACAGGTTCCCCGCCCCAATCTGTCCTTCATCTGGCAGTAGTGTTGCTCATTGGCACAAAAGCCACCTGCATTTCTGATGTGAAAAGCTATGGAATGTTGAACACCCTCAGAAAAATCCTTGAAGGTCCTTCATACGTTTATGCTCTACTCAGCCAAAATAAACTTGTTCACTGACCTTGCGAACAGATGCTTGGTAATGAGGTCATACAACTGAGTAACATTTTCAGAAAATTGCTTTACAGTGTAATAAATGGTCAGATTAGATTCCTATTTTCACCTTTAACATGCTCAGGTGGTTCAACCTGGGAAACCTAGCCAGGGGTGTTACCTGTTCTTTAAAGGTCATGCCAAGGGTCCAATAATTTTTAGCCTGAAAGGTATTTCAAACAAACTATGTACTGTAAAAATTGTAAATAATTCCCCAGTCTCACTATTGGCTTCCTTGCAGTTTCTCCTTAAACTTGACCTATTTCCTATCTCGGTTTCAATTTACTCTTCGGTATGAAGTGTCTGGTTCAGTGATTCTTCCGTGATGATACCTTTGCTTGACATCTCCAGAGATGAAACTAATTTCGTGTACTCTAAAATAAGCACAGTATAACTTGAGGCAAATAGTGTTAACATGCTGTGTTCAGCATATTTAATGACTATTTCTAATGAGCAATACAGACTCCAGGACGGAGGCTCCAATCAGTGTTTCTGTATTCATGATGAGGATGGCGAAGGTTACCTCCTACAAGGGGAGCTTGTTGATAAAATAATCACAACATCCCAAACTAGTGGGGAAAGTTCCAAATTGAATTTCAATTACGGGGTATGCGTTTCTATTTGTTTTGCAGTAGTAACTTAGAGGATTTTTATATTCCCTGCTTCCTGCCTTTGGGATGGAGAGATGATTTGAAGGTGTTAAATGCATAAATAAAAACAATGAATCACAAAGAAGAAAGCCAGAGAACTGGATATAGGATTGTTTTTGTAGCATTTTTACAGAAAAGTATTTCTTTGAGATAATGCTTTTTTTTTTTTCTAAGTAATGGAAGGTAATGGATGGGCTCTTAACAACCAAAGAAGAAATAAAAATTTCAGGTATTGAACACAGACATTAGCTACAGCCAGACAGAAGCCTGAGAGGGTAGGGGCTGTATTTATCTTTCTCATTGCTGCATCCCTCAGTACCTACCATATAGTAGACATTCAATAAACAGACATTGAATAAATGATATGTAGGATTCTAAAAACTGATGGAGGCAAAGTGTAAAATAAATGAGGAGGGAATGAGGATAAGATAATATAGTAGCAACTGCTGATTCCTCACAGAAAGGGTTTGAAAGAGGTAAGCACAAGTCAGAATAAAATAAATACCCCACAAAATAGTCACAATATATAGAAAGGTGTCTCACAGAATAGTAGGATTACAAACCATATTTAAATGTTAAAAGTGAAGAGGAAAAATGGGATTTGTATGCTTCTGTCTTCAAAAACAATGTTCTAAAATGCCTGTTTTCTAAACTACTTTTCAAGTTGAAATTTAATTGTCAGCTTTTCTCCATAGAATCATGTTGAATGATGCTTCTAAACATGAAAGATTCCGAAAGCATTTCTATTGGAGTGTCAATAAATACATGTACTTGGTTTGTAAAGTCAAATAATGCTAAATGTTGTAACAAATAAAAAGCAACAAGGCCTTAGTCCCCTTCTCCTCTTCGTCCTCTTGCAGACGAACCCTCTCCTTTCCTGTTACTGCAGATGACAATTTATTCTCTTCCATCTCTTTTTCTTCCCCTGTTCTCCCAATATGGCAAAATCACAGTAGTTAAATCCTCAGTCAGTGTTCTCATTATTATAATGTAAATGTTGTTCCCTGCTGAGCCAAGCCATCCTCCATTGTTATATTTCCTTTCTTATATAACTTTTGTTTTTTTTCCCCAGGGGTAAGGATTAGACCTTTTCTTCTTTTTCACTCGCTTAGTTGTTCTATCCTCTCCCTCTTTACATTGTCTCTAATACACTTTTCATGGCGCTCAGGTGTGCAGCTGCATAATACCAGCTGTCTACAGCCAGCGTGTCCTCTGATTGGTCATAGCACAGGCTTTGACTGGGTTAAGTATCATCCCTGTGCAGCATTAAACCTATTAGATCCTCTGAGCTATGTGTGTTTCCCAGAGACATCCCTCCTGGCACCTTTCATCCATCACCTCCAATTTCGGCTGGTTGCGCTTTGGGCTTGCTGCATTGTAGGAATTCCTGTCATCTCATCTCCCTTCCATGTAGAATAATCTGTTTCCCACATTCCTTTTTTGTGGACTATTCCCTAACTTTGGCAGAGCATATCTGCCCCGACAAAGGTAGGTAAATTTTGTGACTTTGCATGCCTAGAATCTAAAACCAAATATTTATTCTAAGCGCATATATGGCTGATAGCTTGACTATTATAGAACTTGAGGATAAAAATCAAGATGGCATTGGGGGTGGTATTACTCTGTCTTCAAGCTTCCATTGTCACTATTTAGAAATTTAATGCCATTCTAATTCTAGATCATCTGAATGTGACATGCTTTTTTATCTTTGGAATTCTCTCCTTATATCTGGTGTTTTGGGATATCCAGTGATTTTGCTGAGACTTGGTTATTCTTTCCACTCATTGTGCTGGGTACTTGGTGGGCCCTTTCAGTTTGGAGATTCATGATGGCCTTCAGTCCTGGGAAATATCATTATTTCTTTGATAACTGTATCTATTCTCTCTTTTTAGAATTCCTAGTTGCCGAGTTTTGGATCACCTGTATAATCTTTTTTAGCGGACATGGAAATCAGGAATGTATTTTCATTGAGCAAGAAATAAAAAGCAAAGCAAATGAATTTCTAAAATGGAAAACAGGCCTTTAAACTGAAAATTTTTCCAATTAAATATTCATCTACAAACCTATCCCTAATAACACAAAAAGCCTTTAAAAGCCAAATGACAGGAAACCCATACAACATCAAAGTGCTGGTAATTAACAACCATTAATAATACAGTTGTCTTACATGCACAGTGCTGCATAGTTAATAAATTTCCATTTAATTCTCAACACAATATAGCTTGGTATATAATTTGAAGTTTTCTTCTTGCTTATTATATTAATTTTGATACTTGAGCCCTCATTTTATAACCCTTTTGCCATTACAATTATATAAAATCACCACTGAACTAGAAAATTAATTTCCATAGTTTTAGTTCAAGGTAACTAAAAGAGTGGAATACTATTTACTCTCAACTTAATTGCGAAACACTCAAGCTTTCACTTGGATTGAGAGAGACACATGATATTAATATTTATTCGTCTCCCACTATCTGCAAGCCAGCACTGTGCTTTTATATATCTCTCACAGGTAGGTATAGTACACCTCTTTTATACACGAAGCAACTAAGGAACATTGAAAATTAAGTAAATTGCCTATGGTTACTTAGACAGTTACACTCAGCGCTTTTTGGACCTGTTTTCTTTCCATATACTACACACCAAAATCAATTATACTATGGCCTTTAAAAATCAACCACACGAATTATGACATGCAAGAAAATCCAAAAGCCATAATGCAAATTTGCACAGAACACATTCTTTTGATAACTTGGCTTGCAAACACAACAAATGACATTAGTAACTGGCTAAGTAAAATCTCAAGTTTTAAGAACAGAATTTTGTCATGCCTTATTTTGAATAATCAGTTACCTCAAATTGATTGAAGTAGAGGTGCAGAAGTAAGCCAGAAATCCTACCAAGATATTGCCATGGAGAGAGAGAACACCAAAGACAGAGAAAGAAAGAATGGTCATCTTTACTTAAGGTGATTAATTCAAACTATTTTCAGGTAATACAGTGGAAAAATTATGACAAAATAACATTTTCAGGTATGTTTTACTTATTAACTAACTCTCATTTTGTGATCAATCAAGAGATTCAAAATTTATTGAGTAGTTATAGAACACATATTGTGAAGATATCTTTTAAATTATCTAACTGTTCTTTCTAGTACTAGAAAAATGAACATAAAGCAAAATTCTGCCGCAAGTTTATAACGATTTGAAATAAAAAGCCACCTTACTTTATTCGTTGATTTAATGTGACACTGGATAAAAAAGGTAAATGAAAAATTACCTTCACTGCTGCAGTGACAGCAGCAGTGGCTGCTAAGTTTAAACCTTGCCGTCCAAAGTTTACCACGGTCTCATAGCCTCGTTCCTTTGCTTGTACAATGTATTCATCAATCTCCTGGGAAAAAAAACCCCCACATAGATGTTAATTTTATGTAATAATAGTGTTAAGAAGCCCCAAACTAGGACTTTCTCCCCATAATTTAATCGTTCCACTAATTTTACAGCAGTAAGTATGTGTCGATAGGCATTTCTTACAAAATGATTTGTGGAAATAATTTATGTATCTTACCCTTTCCTTTGAAGAAAGAAGTGGATGAAGGAATTTTCTATAAATTAAACTGGCTCCTTTGGTATAGGGACAGAGCAGCCATATGACAAAAGCAATCTTCAGCTCATAGTACAGAGGAAACCTAACAAGAAAAAATTTGAAAGAAAAACTGCTAGTGAAAAATAAACTATAACCAATATGGAGATCACAAAAAACACTTTTTAAAAAGTTCAGTTACTGTGTTAGGTTTTCACATGTAAAAGTTAGTGATCAGGGAAGCAACCAAGTTTGAATTGATGAAATCATCTTGTTTAACTATAGATCAGTTAAGGAGAAGAATGACCCCAAGGGATTCACACCTTCTAATCCAAGATTCTTCTTCTGAAGCGAGCACAGGAAAACTGCCCAACTGACTGTAGCAGTCAAGAGAGGACTCAGACAGTATTTAGCCAGGGAAGCAAGGTATGCCCACCCTGTCTGCAGAGCCAAACTACCATGGAAGTACATGCTATACCTCAAATCATCAGGGAACTGCATATGCTCCAAGTGCACAATGCTTACCCCATGCACACATGTCCTTATCTTTCTCAGGGCTCCCAGAAAACTTCCCTTCCAATCTCATTTGGCCAGAATTGCAGCACTTTGCAGACCTAAATTGTTTACTTGCAAGGGGGAACACAATTAGCATTGTGGTAGACTGGGAATTAGGGTTATACAACCATGCCGTTTTCCATGCGACTTTGTAGAACCTTCCCTTTGAGGACATTTCCCCAATCAATGACTGTGGCTTTAATCATGTATCTTGCTTTGGCCAACAAAATGTGAGTGTGACATATGTCACCTTAAGCAGAAGCCTTAAATGCCCTTTGATGCCCCCACTCCAGCACCCTCAACTTCTCGCTTTGAGCTTTTGCCTTCTGCAGTTAGAATAGCTGCTTCTTTGGCTTTGGTCCTGGAGTGAGAAGACACTTAAAACTAAGCTGAGGCCAGCAAAGCTGCAGCTGACCATTTGCCCTCATGCAGCTTGAACAAGAAATACAAGTTTGTTTTTCATTTTTTTTTTCTTTTTGAGACAGAGTCTCACTCTGTTGCCCAGGCTAGAGTGAGTGCCGTGGCGTCAGCCTAGCTCACAGCAACCTCAAACTCCTGGGCTCAAGCAATCCTACTACCTCAGCCTCCCGAGAGGCTGGGACTACAGGCATGCGCCACCATGCCAGGCTAATTTTTTCTATATATATTAGTTGGCCAATTAATTTCTTTCTATTTATAGTAGAGACGGAGTCTCACTCTTGCTCAGATTGGTTTTGAACTCCTGACCTCTAGCAATCTGCCTGCCTCAGCCTCCCAGAGTGCTAGGCTTATAGGTGTGAGCCACCACACCCTGCCATGTTTTTCTAACCTGCTGTGCTTTTATGGTTGGTTGTTGCCACAGCAAAAGTTAACTAAAATACAATGAGGGGCCCAGTAACTTGTGATCCATGAGGCACTAAGATAAGTAGCTGAGCAAATTTGAGTTTTTCTATGAAGGCAGACAGGTAGAGGGCAGGGAGGAATGACTAAAGGTGTAGTCAACAAAAGGTGTCTGCCACACTGCAATTACAGAACATTTCTGGACTTCAATTGTATATGTTACATTTTACCTATGTTGTTCACTTTTTAATAATGTATATAGGCTACATTTGCAATCAGAAAATGTGAGGTCTTTAAAAAAAAATCTTTGAAACTTAGACCTACCATGGTTTGGAATCTGTGTTCTGCCACTTAAAAACAAACAAACAAATAATAAATAATCAGAAAACCCTCCCCCAAACCCCTACACCAAAAGCATAACAGGTAAATGAATGAACTTTGGGGCAGTGGAAAGAAAATTTATACAGTATTTCAAATTGGAAGACAAAGAGGGGTGCAGATCCAGAGAAGTTCATACATAAAGGACGTTGTTAAGAATATTTTAGTCTGATGACTTCTACTTTTTTCTAGCAAATCCAATGTGACCAAATGTGGTATGAGAATATGAGAACAGCAAAAGGGGAAAGACAACTAACTTAAGGAGAGAACAGTAAAGGTTTGAAATAGACACAGGCAGAAAAGGAAATAGATAACTGACCAGAAGCAAGTTAAAGGAATGAGGTTCAATAGATAGCTATATGAGTAGCTGATTTTTTTTTTCCCCCTGCATTTAGTAGCCCAGGTAAAGAAGTAAAGAAGAGTGATTGCTGGGTTAATTCAGGATGAAGGTTTGTGCAGTAAGGGCAGAGGAAGATACTGACAAGGTTGGAAACTTCAATGTTTTGAAAGGTGAAGTTCTCCAAGTGATGGCAGGGTTTAGATGGAAATGCATTACTGCACTACAGGACAAGGAGATTCAAGTTGTCCATTAAGTACTGCTTGTTCCTTGGTAAAATGTTAAATCCTGAAAGATATAAACATGCTTTAATTTTGCCTTGTCTATTTAGAATACAGCAGCCAAGGAGCTGGTGTTGAATGGGCGCCCACATGGGTGATGTCGTTGTCCACTTTGAATGTTTGTTGATGAAAATTTTAAGGATGGGCAGGGGGTGATGAAACCAGATGATGTGGGCTTCAAAAAATGAGTTGTTTAGGAAAGTGATAAAGGAAAACAGTCCAAAGTCATCCGTGTAGAAAAAGGACAACCAAGTTTCCTTATTCCAAGATATTGGGAGGAAGGTGTGCGGGAAGTGGGCAGGGAGTGGCATATGGAGAGAAAAATTAGCTGCACTTATTTGAGGGGGCTATAAGGAAAGTAATGTTCTTATGGAAAAGCAGATGAAGAAAACAAGATGTAGGATAATTAGATAACTTCATCAAATTCACTTATTTAATAGCAAGAGCAGAATGAGAACTCAGGACACCTCATAATGAGTGTGTAGTGTGGCCCCTTTTCAATAGTAGAACTTACCAAGCAACTGTTTGATCTGCTATTGTTTCAATGACAGTATAGAGAGCAAAAACAATCCAGTACATCATCCATCGAACCTGGAAATAATTAATTATTATTAATAAAAATACTAATGAACAGCAGACTAAATCTGCAAGTGAATAATTATACATATGTATTTCTAGCTATATAGTATGTTGTGTCAAATGCAGAGGGTGATGATTTAGTTTGCAACAGGTTTTGAGTTCCTTATATCACTGTATCATCAGCCTTGTCATACAAAGAATCAAAGAATAACAAATATCTGGGGCTTGATATAATTCAGGAATCTAAAACAAAGAATTGGAAAAATAGGAAATATTTTTCTTAACTGGAGGAAAGCTCTTTTAGGATTAGTTTTTCCTTAACACATTCCCCAAAATTTATACCTTTTCGTCTACCTCAGGATATAGACATTTCTGTCTTTCAAGTGGGCTGGAGTTTCATTAAGGATTAAAATCTCTGCTTTTCTGCTCAATAATAACAAATACACAATGCCCTACCAACCATGGGCTAGGGACTGTACTAAGTATTAAATATCTGTTGTAGGAGTGACTCTGAAAAATGTCATGACTTCAGATATCTGCAAGCCCAAAGAACAAACTCCATGGTGATGCCATTCTGGAACGGAGCCATTCAGGGCTTAAGGATAAGAGTGACTCATGGTTAATATCACTATATGTGATGTTAATTAATTCATTTAATCTTTACCACAACATTACAAGGTAGGAAATATAATTGTTTCCATCATAGATAAGAAAATGGTGCCACAGAGAGGTTAAATGACTTGCTCAAGGTTGTTTGGCTGGGAATGGCTCCCTGGCCATAGATGTAGGCTGCCTGGTTCTGGAACTGGTAAACCAATTATACCATCTAGAGAGAGAAAAACTCGAGGAATTGTTGAATGTGGGGGTCCCAGAATAACCACTTTCCTTGTTCTCACACCAATCGGTGACGAAAAAATTTAGATTCTTATAAATAGCTAGAAAATTTACCTATTTAGTTTTAATACAGATGCTTGTTTGGGTATTTCATAGACAATATAAAACTATAACTCAAGTAGTTTTTACAGTTTCCTATTTACATGGACAAATCAATTAAAAATGGCCATGAATAACTTTTGAGGCAATTATATTGCGAAATATGAATACCAATGTGCTCTAATTTATGAAGAATCCTGAAAGCTTAAAAAAAACGGTCCAAAGCAAATAATGTACATTATCTATATTTGAAATATGAGGAAATTATTATAAGATTATCTTAAAATAAAAAAAAAAAAAAGACCAAATGCTGTCTTTAGTTTTCCACTTTTCAAGATTTCTTTTAAATCTCTCACTGCTCCCAATTCCAAGGCTTGTCCAAGTGTGGGGATGTTCTTCCAAGGCTAAAATCCTATGTGTGTTTCTCTGTGTGTCGTCTTTTCTTTCCTCCCCTCCCCTTTCCAACAGAAGTGATGTTCTTGTATGAGTTCATTCACTCAGCCTTTGCAAATCCAAACACTAATTTGGTACTTTTACCTCACCACTGTATTCATAAGGTTATCTTTTATCCTGACTAGAGGCCTTCCCCCACAAGAAAAATGAAGAAAACTGAATAATGTGACTTTATTGAGCTAGAGGGGTCCTTGGAAGAGATTAAGCTTTTTAAAACTAAACAATTGTTTACTGAAAAAAAAAAATGTAAAACTACTACAAGAGAAATTATTCTGGTTTGGTATCCTATTCAGCTTACCCCAGGACTCTTGGGGAGATTCCAAGAAACCCTAGTGCTCCATGTGGTTGAGTTTGAAAACACAGTATGGCAAACTCCTCTCCCATAATGAAGGGCCAAAATCAATACGATATTCAAGCTCACTGAGCTAGCAGATGGCTTAAGGAGGGACAGTCCACCTTGAAGCCTGAACTATGCAGCTTTTTAAACAAGTGGCTGCCACCAGACCAGTCTCTCCAGTTCTCTAAGATTTCCTGGTTCTCTCCCTCTCTGGTGCTCAGCACAGGGATTTCAATATACACATTATCACCCCCTTTCCCAGAAAAGTGAAGGCTTACATTCGATTAGATACTCCTCACAGAAAATTTAGGAAACTCTCAGAAAAATTAAAGTATTTAAGTCAATGCTTGTTATTTTTCATTATTTCACAACTGTGATCTTCCAAAGGGATAAACAACTATAAGTAATACTCCACACATAAAGAATGCTTTGATTTTTAGTTAAAACACAACAATTGAACAAACAACAAATTATCCAATCAATAGGGTATTTCTGGGCATTTTCCTGGGATACTGACAATTTTATATAAGCAAAACCTCATGGTTTTAATTTGAAGAAATTCTTTGACAATTTGCTCTCTTAAACCTATGGATTTTTCATTCTCCTTATCGTTCTCCTTATGCACCTTAAATATAGCTGAATTCAGGCAATAATTAAAAGAATTCAATGAGCATGTGTTAATGCATGGGAGCAACCATAAAGTTAACTTTGAAACTATATTGCTTCTTTTTTCCATTAATGGACTTGTTTGGTATTTTATACCAAATGATTACTCAGTGAAGCTTTTATTAAAACTACACCTCAAGGCCACTCAGTCTACTGTTTAAAGTTTTGCCCAAGGAAATAACAGAAAGAAGTCAAGGTTAAAAAAAAAAAAAAGAAATTAAACACAAGTGAAGATAAAATATTCTTTGGAGCACTTGAAAACATTGATAACAAAATGCAATATTTATTTTTTTATTTCAGCCTATTATGGGAAAAATGCAATATTAATACAAAAAGCTGGTAGGAAAACAATCACATTGCTTATCTTATGAACATATCTAATCAAATATAATAGAAATAATTGGTTTTAAAACATTATGCAAATACAAGGCAGTATTCTAACAGGTGACTTTAATAAACCACAATCCACCTTTTAAGTTTTTTTTTTTGAGATAGAGTCTCACTCTGTTGCCTGGACTAGAGTGCTGTGGTGTCAGCCTAGCTCACAGCAACCTCAAACTCCTGGGCTCAAGCAATCCTACTCCCTCAGCCTCCTGAGTAGCTGGGACTACAGGCATGCGCCACCATGCCCGGCTAATTTTTTGTATATATATTTTTAGTCGGCCAATTAATTTCTTTCTATTTTTAGTAGAGACGGGGTCTCGCTCTTGCTCAGGTTTTGAACTCCTGACCTTGAGCCATCCTCCTGCCTGGGCCTCCCAGAGTGCTAGGATGACAGGCCCGCGCCCCACCTTTTAAGTTAAAGGAAAAAAAGTTCACACTAACATGATGTTTATTGACACAATTTATGTTCTTGGCAAAGTGGGAACAAATAATATTTCTTTCTGGTTCAGAAATGATTGGTAAAATCAACAAACTATTGCTTAGATATCTGCACAAGAACAATGAGTATTGAGAAAGCAGTACCCAATTTTTCCTTAAAAGTCTCTTTGACCCTCTGCAGTCTTATAAAAACCCCAATCTCAGTGGTAAACATTTTCAACCCAGATGACAGTTCATTTTCAGAAAAAGAGGCTTGTACTTGTGGGCACGGGGGCTCTGCGGTTAGCTATTGAACCGCAGCAGGGTTCGGGAATTGAAAGAAGGGGCGGGCAGCAGCGGGCAGATGAGACACACTCTTTATTGTGGGGGTGGAGGATGCTGCTCGCAGCAAGACCATGGCGAGCTCTTACATATGGCTCAGGACAATAGTGGCAACATGCCAAGCGAAAGCGTGATCACATGGGTTCACACAGGATACAACACCTTGGTTACATAAGTGTGTTGACTCATGCCTTACCGGAAGGCCGGCGGAAGGCCAATCATTTTAGTTTAGCCTAAACAAAACCCATTGCCTATACAAATGGATTTCTCTTACAGGACTACCAGAGGCTCACAGAGCAGATAGGAATTGCCTGAATACTCTATAACTCCCTTCTATGTAGCCTAGTTGATGACCATAAAAAACTGTGAAAGAAGGCTGTCTCTTTGATCCCAGAGAACTCAATTCTCCAACAAGGTGAAGATTACAGCTATAAGTACTAAGATGAGGAGACATACACACACACACACACACCCCTCCTTTTGATTAATCTTTCTTCTTCTTTTTGGAGAGTCTCACTGTGTTGCCCAGGCTTCAGTGCCATGGAGTCAGCCTAGCTCACAGCAACCTCAAACTCCTGGGCTGAAGCGATCCTCCTGCCTCAGCCTCCCAAGTAACTTGGACTACCGGTGTGCACCACCATGCCCAGCTAATTTTTTCTGTTTTTAGTAGGTCTCCCTCTTGCTCAGGCTGGTCTCGAACTCCCAACCTCAAGTGATCTTCCTGCCTCACCTCCAAGAGTGCTAGGATTACAGGCATGAGCCACCACGCCCGACCTAATTTAGTCAACTCTTGAGGACTCAGGTGGTATCATTAAAAACAACATTCACTGAACAATTGTAAGTAAACCCTCCCTACTTCACGTTATGGAAATAGAAACATGACATGAATATGACAGTTCTGCCCTCAAGGATTTAACATTTTACCAGGGAGAAAAACAAGTAAATAACTGTAATTTAAAAAATCTTCTGCTGGGTGCTCCTTTAAGCTCAGCTACTCAGGAGGCTGATGTGGGAGGATCAATTGAGCATAGGAATTCAAGACCAGCCCAAGTAGCATAGCTAGACTCATCTATTAAAACAAACAAGGCCATACCTGTAATCCTAGCACTCTGGGAGGCTGAGGCGGGAGGATCGCTCAAGGTCAGGAGTTCGAAACCAGTCTGAGCAAGAGCAAGACCCTGTCTCTACCAAAAAAAATAGAAAGAAAATTGGCCAACTAAAACCATATAGAAAAAATTAGCCGGGCATGGTGGCGCATGCCTGTAGTCCCAGCCATTCCAGAGGCTGAGGCAGGAGAATTGCTCGAGCCCAGGAGTTTGAGGTTGCTGTGAGCTAGGCTGACGCCACGGCACTCTAGCCCGGGCAACAGAGTGAGACTCTGTGTCAAAAAAACAAAAAACACAAAAAACAAAACCAAAAGTTCTGCTGTTCTTTCTACATTAGTTACCCTAGTTCCTAGGATAAGTCAAGACCCTAATAT